GTGGCAATGCCATGGTCCCCCCCCAAAATAAGCGTAGCCCCCTCTCTGCAGCTCCCACCCCCCCAGTGTGAGAAACCCTGTTCGCCCCCTGTGCAATCGGCGCCGTACAAAGCACACAAAAGACCAGATTTCTTGGGTCGGGAGGCATTTTTCATTTGAATTGGGCCGGGCCCGTGTGCCCTGTTTCCCCCCTGCCCAGCTCGCCTGTCCGTGTGGCCAGCGATCTGCCCGCCCGGGCCTTCAGCACCAGCACCCTGGAGGAGAGGGGGCGGGAGAGCGCCAGCAAGCCAGCTGCCCGGCGGGGCAGGCGGAGGAGGCGGGGGAGCCCCGAGCTGGATGAGTCCCAGTACGGAGTCCAGCGACGAGCGGGACAAGGACGAGTGGGGCCGGTGAGGGACTCGCTCTCCCCCGGGGCGTAGGCACAGGGGGGCCTCCGGCCCTGGCCCTGCTCCCTCTGGAGTATGGGGGCTTGCGCCTCGCAGCCTGGTGCTCCAAGCGGGCCTCGGGAGCAGGGTCGGGGGCCTTGCAAGCCCCCTGCCCTGACCAACGTTCCCTCTCATCTTTCCCATCCATGGGCTGATTTTTTCCACCCCTGGGCGGAATCAATTTTCTTCTGTGCACTGAAGCATGCGCACCACCCGTAGACATACATGCTGCCGGCTGTGGGAGGCGGGGGGCGCTCTGCTAATCAGCTGGGCGGCACCTAAATCTCTCCGGGGTGGCCACCCACGCACCCAGCTTACAGGGACACCGATCCAGGCTACCTCGTTTGGCCTGGGCGGAGGGGCTACTCCGGGGGAGGGGAATCCGGCGACCCGGTTTTGCGGTGCCCCGTTGGTAGCTCGAAGTGACGTCGTTGTGGTGGTGATGATGTCACGCAGCGAGGTCACTGTGCCGGGGCTGCCGCATCCGACGGGCAACCCCATTTTTCAACATGATGTGGGGAAGACACATGGCAGGGACTGCACCAGCCTCCCCTGTCTGCGCAGAGGCTGCGCAGCCCGAAATTGCAATGATTTAGGGGTGCCCCAGAGCTCCCCTTGTGGGGTGTCCCCCCCGTCTAACCTCTCCCCCCTCCGGCCGGGCAGCGTGTACCCCCCGATCACCTCGGACGGCGTGCGTCAGGAGTACAAGCAGGAGTTCGACGCTGACCTCAAGCACTACAAGCAGCTGTGCGCCGAGATGGACGACATCAACGACCAGCTGAACCAGCTGAGCAAACAGCTGGACGGCTTGTCCGAGGACAGCCCGCAGTACCAGGTCAGAGCGGGGCCCGGCGCGGGGCTGCTGGCTGCCTGCTAGCGGGGATTCTAGGACTCGTGTCCCGGTAGCACCGAGAGGGCCCAGCCAAGCTCAAGGCCCCATTGGGCCTGTCCCTGCTCAGACACCAAGACCAGCCTGGCTCCAAAGAGCTCCCGAGTGAAACAGACAAAGGGGGTGTCAGAACCCCCACTGGCAGCCCAGCCAATGTGCTTCCTGCAGGGCTCCCCTTCCTGCCGGGTCACCCCACATTTTGTGCAGCCTGGCCCCCCATGGAATTGTGCCTAATCAACGGGAGCTAGAAAACATCTTCCCTAGCTGCAGGCCCTGTCCCGTGCACCCCGATTCCACCAGCACGCAGGGACCAGCTGCCGTGGGGGGTGTTGCTTTCCACAGCCTGAAAGTTTCTTTATCAGTCCCCACCTGGCACCATCCCCGTTGCTCCCTCGTTAAGTCAGCTGTGGAGTGATGGCTCGGGGCAGTAACAGGGCCTCTCTGCCCGGTTTTTCTTTTCCAGGGAGTCGCCGAGGAATACAACAGGCTGAAAGATTTAAAACGGGTGAGTCTCCAAAACTCAGGGCGTGTCTAAACTACGTTCCTCTTTCGAAAGAGGAATGTACATGAACATTCAAATGCAGCGCGGATTTACAAATCTCGTGCTTCATTTGCATTACTGCGTGACAGCGCTTTTTTCGAAAAAGGGTTTTTCGAAAAAGAAACCGCCGTCTAGACGGGGGGTTTCCAAAAAAAAAAAACCCCACCCTTTTTCAAAAGAACCACAATGCCTGAAAAAATAAGGTGTGCGGGTTCTTTCAAAAAAGGGGGTTTTATTCGAAAGAACCCCGTCTAGACGTTTGCTTTTTCGAAAAACCGTTTTTCGAAAACGCTCTCACGTGATTATGCAAATGAAGCACGAGATTTGTAAATCTGCCCTTCATTTGACTTTTCAATCGACCTCATTTACATTCCTCTTTCGAAAGAGGAATGTAGTTTAGACATAGCCTCAGCCATTGGCCTCCTGTGTGTTTTATATCCGTCCAATCGCCCCTACGGACGGACGTCTCTCTGTCCGATTTCCCGTAGTGCTTCAAATCGCTGCTGATAGCCAGCGTCCTCCGAAAAGGGCCTAGCAATGCAGTATTTCCCACTTGCTCCCCCTTCAAACTTGTCCACGTCCACACACAAGCCGCCCCGACGTCTTTTAGATCCATTTCAAACCCAGGTGTGGTTCTGTGCAGGCACGGCTATCAGTTTGAATCCGGCTCGGTCAGTTTCGCTGGACACGTGTCCATTTA